GAGGAGATGCATGGTAATGTGTCTTTTACTGTAATTTTTTTTTTTGAGACAGGGTCCCTTATTTATTTATTTTGCAGTACTGGGGATCGAACTCACGACCTTGCACTTGCCAGGCAGGCGCTTATGCCACTGAGCTATATCCCCAGCCGCTAGGATCCCTTGCTATGTACCCCAGGATGGGCTGGAACTCGTGGCAATCCTCCTGCTTCAGCCTCTGAGTGCTGCGATTACTGGCATGCGCCACCATGCCTGGCAGCACCCTCTTTCTTTGACTTACTTTCTCAGTCTCCTTCTTGTTCTGCTATTTTATTTCCTTTCACTCCACCCTTTACTGACTTCCAGAGTAATTTTTCTTAGAAGTAAAGTAGGGTCACACCAGGACACTAAGCAAAATATTTCAGCGACCTTACATCCTTACAGCCTCAAGAATAAAGAGAAGGAAAAAAAAAAGAATGAAGGGAATGGCCTGGTGTGGGGATGTATGCCTGTAATCCCAGCATCTGGGAGGCTGAGGCAGGAGGATCACCACAAATCTGAGGACTAGCCTGGGCTAGTGAGTTTAAGGTCAGTCTGAACTACAAGGAAAAATCTTGTCTTAAAAAATAAACTCATCATCATTATTGGTCTTTTTGAGACAGGGTCTCGCTGTGCAGTTCAGGCTGGCCTTGAGCTCACTTTGTAGCCCAGGGTGGCCTCGAACCCGAGTGCTGGGATTACAGGAGTGCGCCACCACACTCAGTTTATTATTATTACTATTGAGATGTAACAGGTTAAATTCTGAGATGCGCTCGCACTCAGTTGCGCGCTCATTCGGCGTCTCCACCTCCGTCCGCAGAGGGCGCTGTGGACGCCGCGGCCCGGTCCCTCTAGGCGACGGCGGAAACACCGGAAGTCTCGTTCTCCTCTCCTTCCGCTTTCTGGCCGGGGCCGGGGTTGCGTGGAGTGAAGAGTTAGCAATGCCGACCGGAGACTTTGAGTGAGTCCGGGCTCCCGGAGGGAGACGCGAGAGCCGACTTGGGGGTTCTGTAGCGTGCTAAGGGCCCGGGGTGAGCCGGGGCCGCGGGGGCTGGACCTCGCTGACCCCGCGCTCTCCTCTCCGCAAACTTGTTCCGCAGCTCGAAGCCCAGCTGGGCCGACCAGGTGGAGGAGGAGGGCGAGGACGGTGAGCGCTGGACGGTGGCCGCGAGGGGCCGCGCTGCCCCAGCCCGGCCATTGTGACCCCCCACGCCCCGCTTTGGCCACCCTCCGCGTGGCCACCCTTTTGCCAGCTTCGGTGGCACGGACCGAGCCCTCGCAGCCGCCCCGGGGAGGGAGCCGGGGCCGCCCGCACCCCTTCACCCCGGAGATCCCCGCTTTGCCGCCGCTCGCGGTCGCCCCGGCCCCGCAGCGCGATGCTTGACAGCTCTCGGCGCTCCCCCTCCCCCAAAGTCCGTGGGCGCCTGAGGCCCCCTCCCCCGCTGACCCTCCCTCCCCACCCTCCTCCTGGCAGACAAATGTGTCACCAGCGAGCTCCTCAAGGGGATCCCCCTGACCACTGGCGACGCCAGCCCAGAGCCTGAGCTCCTTCCTGGAGGTGAGTGACCAGTTCCGCTCTGTGCCAGGGCCCCGCCTCTCCCCGCCCGGAACCCACCCAGTCCCCGTTACCCAGGGGTGTGCGCCCCTTATCTTCTCCCTTCTCCAGCGCCGCTGCCGCCTCCCAAGGAGGTGATCAACGGGAACATAAAGACGGTGACGGAGTACAAGATAGATGAGGACGGCAAGAAGTTCAAGGCGAGGCTGGGGTGGGGACAGGGGCGGGGAGCGCTGTTGGGCTTGGGGACATTTGGACCAGGGTCGCGCGCCCCTGTGCGTTGGGGGCGGGGCCGAGAAGGACCCTCTGGTCCCAGGAACCTGGAGGCACAGCGAGCCTTGACCCGCTCCCCTCCTGCCCGCAGATTGTCCGCACCTTCAGGATCGAGACCCGGAAGGCCTCGAAGGCTGTTGCGAGGAGGAAAGTGAGGCCCTCATCCCTGTTTTGGGGGTGTCCCCCAGGGGCTGAGCCAGAGGAATTGGGAATCCCAGTGTGAGGCAGTTTGTAAGACCCCGAGAAGTCCAGGGTGCAGGAGTGGGTTGGGTAGATTATCATTGACATCCTCATTATTTTTTGTAATGCTGGGGACTGAACAGTGATCCTTCACACGGAGCTCAATCCCCACTCCTGTTTTGTTTTGTTTTTCAGTTTTTTATTATCTGTGTGTCATACATGTTTATGTTCCTTGTGGGAAGTTGGCCCCACCCCTATTTTTTGAGACAGGGTCTTGTTGAGTTGCCCAGGTGAGATTCTCCTGCCTCAGCCTCCTAGAGTGCTGGGATTATGGGCTGGCACGACCATGAGCTGCTTGTGGTTCTTATTTGATAGGAGGATGCTGAGCTCAGGTTGTTTGGCTTGCTGGAGGCTCCTCACATCCCTGACCCTCACTCCTGGTTGGCCCAGTGGGTGCCCAGGGCTCTGCAGCAGCCCCCGCCCCACCTGTCTCCTTGCTCTTATCTGGAGCGCTGCCTCGGCTCAGACCTGCCCAGGCCTCCCGTGGGTGGCATGAAGCGAGGCCTGCATCACGTGCTTACAACCTGTCACTGTTACCGTCATGAGAACTGTTTGGGGATGGTGATAATGGGGGACAAGTCTGGGTGTGGTAGGGCATACCTGTAGTCCCTGTACTCTGGGAGGCTGAGGCAGGAGGATCACTAGCACAGCCTGGGCAACTTGTGACTTAGGGAGAATATCTCAAAAAAAATAAAAATGGTTGGAAACGTAGCTTGCTGGGAAAGGCCTGGGTTCATTTCCCAGTACGGCAAGAAAGGAAATATAAAAATGGGGTTCAAGGCCCAGATACTCTAGGGATAGCGGCCATGGTGTGACCCCACCTCCCTGTCTCCTCCCTCCCTGAGCCCAGAACTGGAAGAAGTTTGGGAACTCAGAGTTTGACCCACCGGGGCCCAATGTGGCCACCACCACTGTCAGCGATGACGTCTCCATGACCTTTATCACCAGCAAAGAGGTGCGTGGCATGGCGGGGCCGGGAGGCGGGGAGGCCTCGAGGGCTCTGCAGCCCCTCTGAGTGCCCGTGCCCGCTTCCGCAGGACTTGAACTGCCAGGAGGAGGAGGACCCGATGAACAAGCTCAAGGGCCAGAAGATCGTGTCCTGCCGCATCTGCAAGGGCGACCACTGGACCACGCGCTGCCCCTACAAGGACACGCTGGGGCCCATGCAGAAGGAGCTGGCCGAGCAGCTGGGCCTGTCCACCGGCGAGAAGGAGAAGCTGCCGGGAGGTGCGGGCCGCGCGGGGCGACCTGCTTGCCGCGGCAGTCCTCCCGCACAGCAGCATCGCGTTTGCTTGTGATCCGTCTGGTGCTGGCAGCTGACCTGGTCTGAAGCGTGCAGAGTGTGTGTGTGTGTGTGTGTGTGTGTGCGCGTGCGCTCCTCCTGTGTGTTTGTGTGTGTGTGTGCGTGCGCATGCGTGCGTGTGTGCATGTCTGTCTGTGGGGCGCACGTGTGACTCCACCGTCCAGGTCCCTGGGGTGACGTCCTGGCGGCCAGTCTGTCTGGGTGACTGCCCGCTCTGGCCTCCGTGAGCGTTGTCCCTGCCACCTAAAGATGCCCCCGCCCTGAGTCGTGCGCCTGCCGCCCGAGGTGCCTTGCCTCGAATCCCTGTGTCCTGTCCCTGTGGGACACTGGGCCGTGGGCGCTCCCCCGCCCGTGGGGCTGGCGGGTGTCGGCCTCCTCTGTGCCACCTTGGTGCTGTCGGAGCCGTCGGAGCCCTCGAGGCCCGGGAGAGGTCACAGGGCCAGGGTGGCAGTGCGGGCGGGGTCCTGTGGCGGGGGCACCCTTGACCGTGCCCTTGGCCTCCAGAGCTGGAGCCGGTGCAGGCGGCGCAGAGCAAGACGGGGAAGTACGTGCCGCCCAGCCTGCGGGATGGGGCCAGCCGCCGCGGGGAGTCCATGCAGCCCAACCGCAGAGGTGAGGCCCGGATCCGGGCAGCGGGCAGCGGGCGGCGACGCTGGGCACCCTGTAATTAGCCAGCGTCGTGTTTGTGGGGATCGGGCGGAGCCTCGTGCTCACAGCTGCCTCGCCTGCCCCCCGCAGCCGACGACAACGCCACCATCCGCGTCACCAACCTATCCGAGGACACGCGGGAGACCGACCTGCAGGAGCTCTTCCGGCCCTTCGGCTCCATCTCCCGCATCTACCTGGCCAAGGACAAGACCACTGGGCAGTCCAAGGTGCACGGCAGCCGCAGGCTGGGCAGGGTGTGGCCTCCGCCCTGGCTCCAGCGCCCGCTGACCCCCATCCTGCCCCGTCCTCTCCCCCAGGGCTTCGCGTTCATCAGCTTCCACCGCCGCGAGGACGCCGCGCGCGCCATCGCCGGGGTGTCTGGCTTTGGCTACGACCACCTCATTCTCAACGTGGAGTGGGCCAAGTAAGACCCCGCCTGCCCTGTCCCCTCCTCTCCCAGGTCACCCTGGGCCTGACAGGGCTGCACCACTCTGCCAGGCACCCTGCCTGTGTGAAGTGACATTCTTTATTGTCCTTTCTCAAAAACTCTGCGGGGGGCAGACGGGCACCAACGGCAGCGTCCGGCCCAGGACAGCGGCGGGGCTTGGCTTGCAACCCTGTGTGGCCCCATGTGTGGCCTTGGTCACTGCACTGTCCTGCCCTGTCCCCACAGGGCCCTGCTTATGTGTGGAGGGTCTTGGGCTGCCCTTCAGGGCCTGGAGCCCCCACACCGACACTTTCCTTGCCCGTCCTCTCTCTAGGCCGTCAACCAACTGAGCTGGCTGCTGCTGCTGTCCAGGCCCTTGGTGACCCGCCAGATTCCACAAGTGGGGGCTCCGCGGGCAGTAAAACGCGGAAAGCACCCTTCGTGTGTCCTGTTCATCGTCCCGCCTCGGGTCGGGCCTGCTGTGGGTGCTGAGCCAGCCTGAGGGTGGGCGCCTACCTTCGGGCAGGACGTGGCTGAGAGCCTGTCACACTCTGGGTCCTTGTCACATCCCAGCACCTTGCGGCAGGGAGTGGGCTTGAGGTGGGCCGGGTCACGGGTTCACCTCGGGGGACTGGGGAGCTGCGGCCGGGGAGGTAGTGCTGGCGGTGAGAGGCAGGCCCCGGTGGCCGCGGCTCCTGTGATCCGGGCGCCGGCGCTCCGCGCAGCAGCCCAGGCTGGGCGCCACGGCCATGTAGAGCAGCGGGTGGATGCAGATGGCCAGCGGCACCAAGCCGCGCGTGGCCTGGTAGCCCAGGTAGGGCCCCAGCTCCAGCGCCCGCACGGCCTGCGCCTCGCTGGGGAAGTCGGGGCAGCGCGCCAGCCAGCGCCGCCGGGCGTCCACGTTGAGCACGTGCGTGACGTGGTAGGGCACGTAGGAGACGGCGTACAGGGCCACCCCGCTGGCCACCAGCACCGCCACGCGCAGCTTCTCGGCTGCCTGCAAGCTGGGGCTGCGCAGCACGGCCCAGCCTAGGGCGCCGTAGGCCACCAGGGTGAGCAGCAGCGGCAGCGCCCCGCCCAGCCCCGCCAGCGCCAGGCTGTAGGCCCTGTAGGCCCCGAGCTGCTGGCCGTCCGCGTTCCCCTGGCACTCGACGCAGGCCTCGAGCCTGCTCGCGTTGCACTCGCCTACCGCGTCCGGAATCTTCAGGCCAGAGAAGCGGAGCGTGGGGGCGGCCAGCAGGGCGGCCAGGGCCCAGCCAGTGACGCTGACCGCCCAGGCGTGCTTGGGCTGCAGGTGGCCGCGCGTGAAGAAGGGGTGGACGACGCCCAGGTAGCGGTTGAGACTGATGCAGGTGAGGAAGATGATGCCGCCCAGCAGGTTGCAGGCGAAGAGGAAGCGCTCCAGGCGGCAGGCGGCCGCGCCGTAGCGCCAGTGCTTGGGCGGGTGGAAGTAAGCGGCCATGGGCAGCAGCGTCAGCGCGTAGAGCAGGTTGCTGACCGCCAGCTGCGCCGAGAAGACCACCGCCGGGTTCCAGGGCCGCGGCTCCCGGGTGCGGAAGCGGTGCAGGGCCAGCCCGTTGCCGGCCATGGCCACCAGGAACTCGGCCACCAGGACAGGCCACAGGAAGTTCTCCTGGTAGTGGCTGAGCTTGCGGTAGGCAGCTGTGGAAAAGTTGCAGGGCCTGGCACCTGTGGGCAGAGGTGTCACTGGCTGTGAGCCCTTTCTCAGCGCGGCCCCCCGAGCCCACGTGTGACAGTGACAGGTCCCTTCTGGGTGCCGGGCCGGCCTCTGCTGCTCCCAGGAAAGTAGCACCGAAGGCCAGAGCCAGAGCTTGTGCCGTGCACCTGGTGTGTGATGGCAGGGCTGTCCTGGAGGTGTGGATGTCCGCCGCAGCGGCATTTGTGGAGTCCCCAGCCTCACTCTGGTCAAACTCCCTCCCACCACCAACAGAGGGTGCCAGTGGGCACCGTGAGTCAGGTCCCCTGTGACAGGAAACTGCTGCTGCAGGGCACAGCTTATCACATGTGCCCACTTCTCATGTGCACTCATGTACAGGCCCTGGGTTTTTTCCTGTTTGAGATAGGGTTTTGCTATGCATTTCAGGCTGGCCTTGAGCTCACTTTGTGCCCAGGCTGGTCTCAAACTCAGAGACCCTCCTGGCTCAGCCTCCTGTGCTGAGATTACAGGCGTGCCCCACCACACCCAGCTAGGGCCCTGGGTTTGATCCCTAGCACCACAAAACAAACAAAAGACAGAATCAAAACATAAAGGCAGGTTCATGTAGCCCTTGCAGGCGTCCACCTCCAACTGCACCTGCCTCCACCGGCCTTGAATGCACACCCCAACCGGCTCGGCAGCTGCCCCAGATGCACAGTGCTTAGTCACCAACCAGGACTTGCCAGGATTCCTGCCCTCACCCCTTTTCCATCTGGCCTGGGAGGTTACCTGCCCTGATCTCTGGGCTTCACAACCCCAGGTCCCTTCCCCAGTTCCTCCACTCCATCATTGTAAGGGGCCCCTTGACAGCCACTCCAGGAAGCCAGGTGTCTCTTGTCCACCCCTGGCCACATGGCAGGTGGGACGACAGCTTTGGTGCCCTCCCTGTGGAACCCGAGGTCTCCCTCCAGAGTCGGGCTCTAACCTACCTCCCCGTCAGGAACCAGCCCACTGCAGCCACACAGCAAGGCCCAAGGCTTGCACACAGCATCCCGACCAGACCCGCAGCCAGCCCAGCCCAGCCCAGCCCAGCGCAGCTCCTCACCCGACACCACGGCTGCCATGCTTCCACTCACACACTCAGCCTCCCAGGTGCCAACTGCAGCGCCTGGGGCCTCGGCCAGGTTCCCAGCAGTGTGACCGGCCCCTCCTCTGCAGGCAGCTGCAACCTCAGCCTGCAGAGTGCACTGGGATGGCACTTCCGCTTCCTCTCATTGCAACACTTCGGGCGACAAGGACCCTCCCATAGCCGGAAGCTGGGCCCCCGGCCCCAGCACCAGATTTGCCATCTCACACCCAGACTCAGGCAGGGTTGCGCCTTTATTGCAGGGAGGGTGGGGACAACAGCTCCTTTATGAAAGGAAACCGAGGGCTGCTGGGCGCCACTCGGGCCCCAATCTGGGGCATCTGTGCTCTGCTGCGCTGGCTCAAGCCCCTCTCCTGGGCGGCCTCCTCCGGCCTTGGCCTCGGTCCCGGGTGACGCCTCTGGGTCCCAGCTTGGCTGGGGCTCTGTGAGGGCCCCCCTGGGGCTTGGGCGGCCTCCGGCCCGCACCCCCACCCCGGGCTCGCTCAGGTCTCCGCTCCTTCGCCTGCTGCTTCCTGCCTGGGGGCCTGGTGAGCCGTCTCCGCTTGGTGGCCCTGGGGAACATGTCTGTGGGGAGACACGAGGTCAGGGACCTGTCACCGACAGGCCCCGGGCCGCTTGGTGGCCCTGGGGAACATGTCTGTGGGGAGACACGAGGTCAGGGACCTGTCACCGACAGGCCCCGGGTGCCCCGTCACCGACAGGCCCCGGGTGCCCCACGCAGCACCCCGCCACATACCCTCATCGGGCTCCTCGCCCACGGCCTGGCGGAAGTACTCGGCCTCCTCCTCCTCCTCCTCCTGCTGGTCCGGCCCCTCTGCCTCCGGGGGATCCTCCTCCTCCTCCTCCTGCTGGTCCGGCCCCTCTGCCTCCGGGGGAGCCCCAGGGTCCTCAGCATCACTGTCCCCGTCAGCCCCAGCCCGGGCCCTCTTCATGCCCGCCAGGCTCTTCTTCCTGGAGGCGGGGGTGTCAGTCCCGCGGCGGCTGGGACCCCCTCCCCGCCCGGCCCCGAAGCCCCCACGCACTTGTGGGCTGCGCGCTGCTCGCGCTTGCGCTGCACGTTCTGGGCCTGCTGCTCCTGCCTCTGCGCCTTGAGCCGCAGCCTCTCCTCCTTGGCCGCCAGGATGGCCTGGAGCTCCTCCTCCGTCTTGTGCACTGCGCGGGGACACAGGGCTCACACAGGGCTCACCCGGCCCGGCCCGGCGCCCCCGCCGCCCCTCCCCACCGCACCGAAACTGTGGAACAGCACGTTGCCCTCGCCCACGCCCTCCTGGATCTTGATGAGCCGCAGCGTCATCCGGGGACCGATCTGGGGGGTGGAGGAGAGTGTGTCAGGCGGCCCTGGGAGTGGGGGCCGCCGGCCCGGGGGGCCCCGGGGTCACCTGAGCTGCACCTCTGTGAGCCGCACAGCGCTCTGCTCCGCCCGCATATTGCCGCGCCCCGCCACAGCCTGCGGCAGCTCCGTGATGTTGTGCTCGCCGTCGGGCTCTGCCTCGCTCTCCGACAGCCCGGCGCCCCTGTGTGGATGGGGACACGTGGGGCTCGGGACGCAGCTGGCTTGGAGCCAGGCTGGAAACTGGTCCCAGGCCCCAGTCCCACCGGTGCCCCCCTCACGTGGCCAGCAGCTCGCTGATGTCCTGCAGGCGGCTCATGTTGGGGAACTTCTCCTGCAGCAGCTTCTTCATGCCCCGGCTCGCGCCCACGGGGACCACCTTGATGCTGCTGCAGGGGCGGGGCGGGCAGGGTCAGGGTCAGAGCGCGGGGCGGGCCCCTCTTCCTCCCCTCGCTCCCCGCCGTGCGTCAGCGCGTTTACTTCAGACTGAGCATCACAGAGTCTCAGCAGCAGCGTGGTCATCAGCCGCACGGCCCCCGTGCCACCCCCGGCCCCCACTCACTAATGGCGGAAGTCCAGCTCCTGCGAGTCGGGGTTGTAGTTGATGAGGAGGCAGCGCTTGATGGTGTTCAGGTTCACCTGGAGGACGGGACAGGGCGCTGAGAGTGTGAGGCCTTGGCGGGGAGGTCGCTGACCCCAGCCAGGCACGGACACCTCGCTGCGTGTTCCTGCAGCCCCAGGTCACAGTGTGCAGCGGTACTGGGGACCCACGCAGGCTGTGAGGTGGCGGCAGCCTCCACAAGCTGCCCGGGCCCTGAAACCCTGGTTCTGGGGCCCAGAGACTGCTCAGATATCCTGACAAATAGCACTTTTTTTTTCTTTCTTGGCAGTACTGGGGTTTGAACTCAGGACCTCTGCACTGAGCTCCATTCCCATGCCTTTGTATTTTTTTTTCCTTTGCATTTTTTGAGATGGAGCCTTGTTAAGTCACCAAATTTCCCAGGCTGGCCTCCAATCTGTGACCCACCTGCCTCAGCCCCCTAGACCGCTGGGATCAGAGGCACACACCATCTTGCCCAGTTGAGCACTATCGCAGAATAAACCCTGATGCGAGAGCTGCTGGTGCCAGGAATGAGGAGCTACACGTGCAGCTCAGAGGCCAGGTGCTTGCTTCACATGTGCCAGAATCACAGGAAATGAATCCTCCAACGCCGGGCATGGAGACATACACCTGTCACCCCGGCACTAAGGTGGGGGGCTGAGGCAGGAGGATCGCTGTAAGTTTCAGGGTAGCCTGGACTACATACGCAAACTCTGTCTCAAAGAACAAAAAAAAACCCCTCCACTCCTGCCTCCTTGAACACAACCTCAAGTGAACAACTTCACTGCTGCACACCTCAGTTCCCCTCTGCAAAACGAAGCCACATCAAGGTCCTGCGGCAGCTACTGCCTGGCGTGGCCTGGCCACCCACCCACCCCGCCCCTCGCTTCGTGGCCCACCTTGTGCACGTTGATGGAGGGGAACAGGTTCTGGAACATGGTGGCCATGAGCTTCACGTGCATGCCGTGGGGGCCGAAGCTGTTGAGCACCAGCAGGGGCGGGTGGGTGAACTGCTGATTGTGCATGCGGTGCCGCCGAAGCGAGGAGACCACGTCGCGCACCAGCGTGTACTGCAAGGACGGCGATGGGTGGGTGCCGCCCTCGGGGCTGGGGCCGCCCGCAGCCCAGCTCCTACCCCCGGCTCTCTGGCCCTTACCTTGTTGATCTGGAAGGTCAATGTGGGGCCCCCTGGGAGGCGCATGAGCTTCTGCAGGAGGAGAGGATGGTGAGGGCGGAGGGGCCAAGCAGGCAGGGGGAGCAGGGACCTCCACCCCTCTCTTCAGAGTGTTTACTTTGAAGCCAGAATCACAGCAGCTCAGAGGCACAGGGTTCATCCTGAGAGATGGGGGAG